ATGGACATTATTTGGAGTTAATGGGATAAGGCGGTTATTGGCTTTGAAATTGAAATGCACGGTTGCATAGTTACAGTGAGAAAGGGGAAGTTATTTCCTATGTGTCTAATTTTATGGGGAGTAGGATAATTGTTTATATTTTTATATGTACGTAGGAATTGTCCTCTCTCTACCCACACTATATTTTATCAGATTTTCCCATATGTTCTGGTGAAAAGAATAAAGGGGTGAAGTGAGAGAAATAATTTCTATAAGCTTTCTACACGAAGAAGATTTCATTATGGTTGATCCCGATATGTTTAATGGAATATTTCTTTCCGCATGATAGAGATGAGCATGTGATCATCATGATAGTCGAAGATTCCTATTTTAGTCAATTAAATTTTTACAATAGATACGTAAGAGAAGGGGGGAGAGTGAGAGGAGAGGGGGAGAAAAAAAAATTAAAATTTACATATTACTAATGTCAACTATGATCGATTCAATAATAGTGAATATAAATTTTGTTTGTTGTATTTATTTATAGCATGTTTTGTGTTGCTTGAAAGCTAATTTTTGCGATTTTTTCCTTAGATGGGCACGCGCTTGCATGCTGCTCTTAAAAGCCACGAAAAGCTAGCTTTAGCCTTTATGTCGTGACCAAACATGTACTTAATAACATTTACTTGTACTTAGTGAACATGATTATCATGAATATAATTCGTAATTGGTTGTTCACGTGATTATTACAATTAGGATTTTTGGTCTGTCTGTATATATTATTTTTAATAATTAATAAAAAAAGGTAATTTTGTCTTCTTGGTAAAAAAGTTGAATTTTAAAAATATGTACATACTACAATCCTGGTTGAAATTTTGTGTAAGAAAATGATTGAGAAATTTTGAGTCTAATGATGTTTGTTACACATCGCTACGAATTATTTTCACGGACTATGCTATTCGTACACAGGGGTTTACACCCCCGTTTACCGGCCCCACCTGCCTAGTGGTGTCAATGGGCCGAGCTTCGTACACGGGGGTTTACACCCTTGTTTACCGGCCCCACCTGCCTAGTGGTGTCAATGGGTCGAGTCGAGCCGGTTTAGCTCGACTCGTGACTTGTTTGCTCATGGGCGAGCTCGGCTCAGCCCTTAAGGCCACGAGCTCGTGAACTAACGAGCCACGAGCCGAGCGGCTCGACTCGTGGCTCGTTTGATTTTAAATTTTTTTTTTTCACGAGGCCACTAGCACTCGTGTATTTCACGAGCCGAGCGGCTCAGCTCGTCTAGCTAGCAAGCCGCTCGGCTCGTGGCTTGGACTCGTCTTTTCACTAGTCGAGCGGTCGAGCCGACGAGCCGCTCGACTCTTTTGACATCACTACACCTGCCCCCTCACAATAGGGGGGCCAAGATTATTTTATTCATCGTGGGCCCTCCCCCCTCATGTGAGGGCAGGGTAAATAGGGGTGTAACCCCGTGTACTTATGGTTTTAGTGTTTTACCCTATTTTCACTCCTCTCTTACGTTTTTTTATGCATGCACAGATTTACTGAAAATTTTACTGAAAATACCAAAGTCTAGGCCATCTCCGCCAAATCAATGGCTAGATCTCTGAAATTGATCATGTGACATTAAGGTCATTGCTGACAAAATTTTATTAAAGTCAACTTAGGCACCCTCTTTGCCCTCATCGTGATTTATAGATTGTTATTTATCATTGTCATTTTTATTATGACGTTGTTACATGTATATCATAGATGAACAATGCTACACTTACATCAATTTTGACAACCTTTTCACATACATTTGATGGAGTCCAC